CATGTAGAAAACTTAGTAAATATATACAAGTAGAAAAAAACAGGAAGAAAGGGAGACTAGGATAGAAATTTAAAACACCTGGAAATTCTACATAGAGCATTTCTTTAAAATACTTCATGTCATTCATACAGAGTAATCAGTAAAATTGAAAGGAAAATACTGCCCTTATTAAGAAGAAACATGAAGGCCCAAAATAGGAGAATTTCTGTTCTAAGTCTCAATTCTCTTACATGTTGGGACATTCAGCTTTTATTCTATGTGGTTATTGAGCATTTATCGTATACCAGGCACTGTATACTATTGGGAATAAAATATGGTCAAAAATAGACATTGCCCCTATGTTAATGGAGGTAAAATTCCAGTGGGAGGAGGTAGATGATATCCAAATAGTCACATGTAGGAACGTATAATATAGATTAAGTTCAAATGCTGAAAAGGAAAAGAAGTGGGTTCTTTTTAGGACATTTAACAAAAGACCCTACATGGGCAGAGAGAGATCGAGGGGGTCAGGGAAGCGTTCCTTGAAGGAATGATGCTTGAGTTGAGGTGTGAAAGAAGAGTGGGCATTTACTAAGCCGAAGCAGTAGGGGGCAAGCGATGGATGAAGGAGGAGTCCAGAGAAAGCAAAGATTCTGTGATGGCACACAGACGAGCAGACAGAGCCAGGGGGACAGTGGGAGGGACCCGGACTGGGGTGGCTTCACAGGCCCAGGCAAGGAGCCTCCCTATCGGGGCATGGCTTGATGGGATCCCAGGCGGAGTGGATGACCTAGTGTGGATCCTTTAAGATTAGACCAGAGGGAGTCAGCATTAGCAGAGGCTCCCACAGTAGAAGCTTGTTTGGATCCCTTACACAGGCCTTTGTGTGCTCAAAAATGGATGTTTTTCTCAGTCACAATGACCTCAGCTAATGAATGCCAAACAAGTACCTTCCACCAAAGATGTTGCAGAGTGTGTTGCCACCTCATTATGTAAATGGTCACATAGCTCATTCTCTTAGTACCTTCCAGGCAAATGCCTTCCCACCTCTGTTAGGAAATCACATCCTCCTCTTCTTCTGCAGCTTCATTGATAGATGACATTGCAAAATCAAGAACACCCAGAGCAGAAAGCACCCTCCCAAAGAACCTCTGGAGCACTCTGTCTCTCCAAAAAGAAATCTGCAGCAGATGTAAACTGAATAGAGCAGCAGTATTGCTCATGCTGTAGGCCACCAGAGCCTTCTTCCCCTCCTTTTATCCTGTAAGGTGGCTCTCAAGATCAATTTACCCATAATTAACAAAATATAAAGTTAATGGTTCATGCAATGGGCAACCTTTTAGTAATAAGACATTTTGAGAATCAGCAGAAATATTTGGAAGAGAGAAAGACAAGAAAAGTTGGCAGAGGGGCTGTGTGAACTAGTCCTCTGCTTGGAACAACTTCAGCAGCTCTTCGTTACACTTCAGATAAAATCCACACTTAGGACCATGCCTGTAAGGCCCTGCAAGATCTGGCTGCTCTAGACCTTTAGGGCCTCCTGCTGGGTAGACTGTAACTCTCCTCATCACTAGACCCCAGCTTTTTCCCTGCCCCAGGGCCTTTGCACTGCAGTGCCCTTACTTCATATCTATATACCTAGCTCCCTCACTTCACTCCATTCTCTGTTCATATTGTCATCCCTCAAAAAGATTTTTTCCCTAACCACCTGAAATAGCCCCCCCCTCTACTCTCCCTGTCACTCTCTAGTCTATGACCTATTATGTTTTATTACTACCATGTTTATATCTTTTTATCTGTCTCTGTCAACTAGTGTGTAAATTCCATGTGGGCAAAGATCTAGTCTAACTTGTTCAACATCATATCTGCAAAGCCTAAAGCAGTGTCTGGTCTCGATAAATATTTGTTGGGTGAATGGATGGATGGATGTTAACAGCAGCATTCTCATACTTGGAGGACTGTCATGTGGACAAATAAATGTATTTACTCATCCAATAGACATTTATGGGGTAACATTTAATAAATAGTTATTAAGAAACTATTATATGTGAGGCACAGGGGATAAGAAGCAAAAAGAGACACTGTCCCTGCCCTGAGGAGCTCTTAGCATCGTGGCAGTCAATGTGGAGAAATGTGGAAAGAATCAAGAGACAATGACAGTCAACTGGACATGAAGACTAATTGGTCTCAGAAGGTGAAGAAGAAGATGTACCCCAGGTTCTAGGCTTGGACAGATAAGGACATGACTGTGCTATTCTGTGACCAAGAAACCCCAGGTGGTAAGGAGAGACGATCATCTTTAGAAATGTTGAGCTGTGGAATATCCAAGTGGGGACATGCAGGCAAGGAGTTGAGTATCCAAGTCTGGAGCTTGGGAGAAAAGTCTGGGTGGAAATACAGATTTGATGAATCACAGGCAGTAAGTGGTGTTTCAAGTCATGGGAGTGGGAGATATAAACCAAGTGGGTAGAGTAAGAAGAAAACCAACATTTAAGAAATGGAATTTAAAACTTGCAAAGACACTGAAAAGGAGCAACCAAAATGGTAGAAACAAAAGAACACATTGTCGTAGCAGTTCAGGAGGACAGTGCCAAATATTTTAGAGACCACATGTAAGATGAGGACTGAAAGGTATTGAACTTGGTGACAAAGCAGTCCTTGGCCATCTGTGCTAGAGCCATTGCCGTGGCATGGTATGGCTGGGCGTGTTTCTGTTTGCGGAGGAGGGAAGTGAAGACTAGGAAATGGAGATGTGGAAAACTCTTAGAAGGTACCTAACCCTGAAGGAAAGGAGAGAGAGAGAGAGAAGGGTGGCAGAAGATGCTAGCTAGCAAAATATGTTCAGTGGCGCTCTGAAGGGCAGAACAAGGAAGGATCTAGGGTAGAAATATTGGGAGGCATCCTTGGCTTAGTGCAAAACCAAACTTTCTAACCATTAGAGTTGTTCAAAAATGGATTGGGCTGCTTCTAGAAGAACTGAGCCCTTGATTGCTGGAGTTATGGCACAATAGCCTGAATGTTCTATTAGAAAAGGATAAAGGTGTCAAATTGGTAATCTTCCACCTTAAGAAACTGGAGAAAGAAAAGCAAGTTAAACCCAAACCAAGCAGAAGGAAGGAAATAACGAGCAGAAATCAGTAACATTGCACACAGGAAAACAATAGAGAAATATGAATGAAACTAAAAGCTGGAGGGGGGTGGAACAAATCAATAAAATGGATAATCTCTAGCCAGATTGACCAAGGAAGACAAAAAAGACACAAATGACCAGGAATGAAAGAGAAATATCACTACAGACCCCACAAACATCAAAAGGACATTAAATGTATACTACAGATGATTCTATGCCCATAAATTAAACTTAGATGAAAGAAGCCACAAACCCCCCAAAACTCACTCAAGATAAAAACTGGTAAGCTGAATAGTCCTATATTAAAGAAGTAGCATTCCAACTTATTAAAAAACTCCCAATAAAAAAAAAAAAAACCATAGATGGTTTTACTTGTGAATTCTATCAAACATTTTAAGGAAGAAATAGTACCAATCCTGCACACTCTCCTGTAGAAAATAGAAAAGAAGGGAATTCTTTCCAACTTATCTTATGATGCCAACATTACCCTAATACCAAGACCAAAGACATTCAAAAGGAAAACTACAAATCAATATTCTTCTTCACGAGTATGGAGTAAAAATCCTCAACAGAATATTAGCAACTAAAATTGAGCAATACATAAAAAGGATAATGTATCATAATCAAGTGGGGTTTATTTCAGGAGCGCAAGGGTGGTTCATCATTGAAAAATCCATCGTTCTAATTCACAATGTGAATATGAAAGAATAGCCTAATTGATCAATAAGCCAGGTTTTCGGTTAATATGCCCAATCAAAGGATCTAAGCTTAGATATACCAATGAAGAGCAGGTTGTGTGATTTCCTGGCAAGGAGAGAAGCAAGTCAACTAAGAAAGAGAGGGGGTGGTTCCCCTATGGCTAAGAAACTGAGAATTACAGTCAGATCCTGTGGGTTCCTCCGGAGGAACCAGCCCAGTGTGTTCTTCCTCTGGTATCCTCATTTCAAAGACTGATCTGCAGTTAAAAAGCAGGAGTTTGGGGGTCCCCTCCTGAGCAGCCAGCAGTTCAGATTCCCAAGGAGGCAGTGTTCCAGCCAGGCCTGGGGTGGAGGAAGCCAAGGGTACCCACAGTCCTGATTTTCTCAGATACTTAGAATCCCATTGTGTCACAATATGAATGGCTCTTGGATTTTACCTAACCCAGATGCTCACAATTAAGAGGAAGCAAGCCCCCATGGAGGGTGGCTTTGCCAGGCCCTTTTCTTCCCCTGTTTTTAAAGCCAGTGATCATGAGCTGGTCCCAGGACAGTAAACCCATAAGACCACATCTTCCATCCGACCCTAACCAAACATTCCCCTCCATCCATTGCATATTTGCTTTTAGGCCTACCTTTGTGCTTCACAAGTCACCACCTGAACCAATCTGGCCTGGGTTCTATGTCCCTCTTTTTCTAGTTGATGTCTGGTATGGAGAAAACCAATCAGACACGGGCCTTTTCACAGAGTTCTCCTGGATTAATGGATTGGAAGATTGGCCCAGCTGCCTGCTTCAAGGCTACAGACCCCACAACCAACCACAGAGATACAGAGTCTGAGGCCCATCATCTATGACTCCTCTGTTGTTCATTCTAATTCTTCAACAGATTCGTTAGAAAATTATGGTAAAAAGGCATTGAGCTCCTCTTGTGTGTCTAGGACTGTGCTATGAGGTTATGCATTCTCTCATTGAATCCTCACAACCACCCATTAACACAGGTACTGTTCTCATCCTCATTTTGCAGATAAATAAGACTCAAAAAGCTGAGTAACTTACCCAATATCACACAGCTAATAAATAGAAGAGCCACCATTTGAATCCAGGTCTGGCTAGCCCCAGTGCTCAAGTTTTTAGGAATGAACATTCCTCCCGGTTTAAAATGAAAACTGTTTTCCTTTGCCTCCATCTCTGCAGTCTCAGGAGGAAGTCTGCGATTTGCTCCATGCTGCACCCTTCCAGAACATCTTGCCCCGAGTCTACATCAAAGGTAAGAAGCAAGCCACTGCCAGCAGCTGGCTAGCCGGCTTGCATTCCCTTATGCTCACATCCTTGCTAACCCAGTCAACTCAGATCTGCACTGCCAGAAAGAGGTTAGAGCTTTGGATACCTATTGCATAAAAGTCACAGAATCACAGAATTAGAAGTGACACTCCAGGCCTTGCTCCTTCTAGAATATACATAGTATCGCTATCTAGCATTGGTTTAAATTCCCAAGTATACCACTATGCACTTTATCCATCCATGTAACAAAACTGTATTTTTACCCCCTAACTCTATAAAAATGTTTAAAAAGCAAAAAGAAAATTGCTTGAGTGATAGAGAACTTACCAGTCCCAAAGTAGATAATTGCATTGTTGGACGGAGATCCTAGAAAATGTTTCCCTGTAGGGAGTCCTCATTGTACTTTCTAGAACCAAGGAGAACAGTTCTGCCTGCTCCATGCAAGTTTTGGGACACATACACACTACATACACATCATCAGGTCCTCTGAGCACTTACCTTGCCCGGTCACCTGGGGTTCCCCGAGTCTCATTTTCTGCTCTGCTGCTCCTTTGCAGAGGGGGAGCGCCTGGAGGTCCGAATGAAACGTCTGGAAGCCAAGTACGCCCCTCTGCACCTGGTCCCTCTGATAGAGCGGCTGGGGACTCCTCAGGTACGGACCTTGCATAACGGGCTCTGCGGATCAAAAGGAACTTTAGAGGGAGAGCATTTGGCCCAACCCCCTCATTTTACAGGTAGGGAAACTGAGGCCCAAAGAAGGAAAAAGAGTGTCCAAAACTGTAAAGCTGGTTAGTGGCAGGAGCAGGTCTGGAATAAGGTTTATGAAGCCAGGCCTGGGTGTTTTTTTTTTCTCTACTTGTGTCATGTATCCTGCCAAAAAAAGTAGCTGCTCATTTAAACAGGTATCTACTACTCCCCTGCCAGGGATCATAATTCTGCTGTGTTCTCTCTCCATACACCCTGTGAGCCGGTAGTGCACTTCTAGATATTTTTGCTAAAGAAACACAAGAACACAAGATGCTTTACTGTAACACTGTTAAAGCAAAAACTAGAAACAACCTAAACATCTATCAGTAAAGCATTGACTACATAAAATGTGGTCTAGTCATCTAATTGCACACTCAGCATTTACTGAATACCTAATAATGAAAAGGGAAAAGTAGATCTAAGCACATAAGTGTGAATCGATCATAAACACATGGCAAGTAGATAAAGCAAGTTGCATTAAAATTCACACGGAAAGATGCCATTTTTTTTTTAAATGCATACAATAAAACCACATAAGTAAAACTTTTCCTGAAAATATCTGGAATGATACACAGTTAAGTTTATAAAGGTGGCAAGCTCTGAAGAGAGTTGAGACAGAGATTGGGGAGAGGGTGAGGGAATCAAAGACAACTTCAGCTTTGCCTGGAATGTTCTCATATTTGCAAAGGTGAATGAGTTCATCTGTTAAATTCTGTACTCAGACAGCACCCCCCCAACCCCCTGTCTTCGGAGAATTCACGGACTATGCAGGGAGCAGAAAGGAAACGAAATGGGGGCAGAGAGGGGCAACAAAAAGTATGTGCTAGGTCCTCCCCAGTTGATTTAAGCAAGCTTCACATTTTGGGGGCAGGCAGGGGAAGAATTCAGGAAGGAAGGAAACAGGGCACCGTAGTGAGACTGTTGAAAAGATTTGGGATTGAAATCTGCTCTTAGACTCTGGGACTCACATTGCAGCAGTCCTCTCTGGTGCTTGTCACCAAGGGCAGAAGGACCCCCAGCCTCAGCAGAGGCCAGAAGGCGGCTTCTCTTTTGGAAAAGCCTGGCAAGTATTTGGAGCACAATGCAGAGTCCCCTCTGCACAGGTGTCATGCAGATGAAGCCACCAACCACCTACTGCAAACAGTACCTAAAAGCTAAGTGGCATTTGCATTCTTTGACTCACCTGCAGAGAGAGCTCAGATACTGTAGAATGCGCGCACATTTTCTTTTTTGGCCTTCAGAGGCTGAACGGAGGAGATCCTCTAAAATGATTTCCTTTTAGGGAGAAATCCTCCAAGTCAGTGACATGGAAATGCGTCTGGTCCACTGCTGGTGTCATCCTACAAGAATCCAGCCTCTCGTGCCCAAGGTTTGGCATGTGTTTCCACTTAGAGAGGACTGTGAATTCCATCCCCGTTCTGGTGAACGGCCACTTCCTTGGGACTGATAGAAATCTCCATTTGTCAAACGCTGAGCATTTAACAAACAAAAGCCTAGACATTCCGTGAGAGAGGAAATGCCAGTTTTATAAGTCTCCCATCCTCAAGAAATAGTCCAAAACTTAGTCATTCCATAGACCAAAGAAAAGTTAACAGAACATTAACTTCCAAGCTCTCTGGGGCTCGGGGTGATCGTATAGTATCTAGCTCAGTGACAGAGGACCTCTGCAACAGATTTGAAGCCAGGAAGTTTGAGCAGTATTGCATTGTTGGCATTGTTGCTGAGACAAATTGAGGTGACCTGGTTTGTTGCCCCATACTATCATGGAAGGAAAACTCTTGGGGTCAAAAAAACAGGGGTCTTTGTCCCAGATCCACCCCTGAATTATCTAGTACAAGCCATTTTTCAGTCTTTGTTTTCCCATCTTTGAAATGGGATAAGAGCTATTTTACCTCCTTTACTGAGCCACCTTTCTTGATTGCTATGATAAACAAATAAGTATGAAAATTCCCAAAAAAACAAAGGATTATATAAAGAAGGAATATTAAGAAGCTCTGACTCGAGGGGGAATGGGTGGCAAGGGCAATATATATAACCTTAACAACAATTGTACCCCCATAATATGATGGAATAAAAAAATAAATAAAAACTTAAAAAAAAATCTCCTCCTCCACAGGATACTAAATGTAATCAAAGCACCTCATACAGGCATGATTTCAATGTGGTTTCACAAGCATTTTCTCTGTTCCCTTGTTAACTTAGAAAAGAGTGGCACAGAATGAGAGAGAAAAACACCCCCACTGAGTGGAATAGAAAAATAGTGGATAAGATCTACATTAAACACACACTCCATATATAACAGGGAGCCACAAACTGGGGGTGTTTACAGTAAACAATCTATAAAGCACTTTTTCAAAGCACAAAGATGATGCTACACATACAAAAAGAACAAAGAAAACCCACAACATAAAAAATATGCCAACAAACATAGAAAAAGTATTCAGCCTTACTAGTAATCAATGAAATGCAAGTTCAAAGAATGAGGTACAATTTTTCCTATCTCAAGTTGTTAAAGAACCTTTTTTAAATAACAGAGTTTATGAGGGCACAAGGAGCAAGCATCACAAAGGTAGATGTATAGGGGTCAGCGTTTCCTGAGACTAGTTTGCCACTAAGTAGCAAAGGCCTTTTAAAATATTTATACTCATTGACCCCTCTATTACTAAGTATTTATCCTAATAAAATGACGAGAAATAGGTGCACAAAGTTTTATGTATAAGGGTCGTTGCCATAGAATTTTGGTAATAGTGAAAATTTGTAAACAATTTAAGATAACCAAGAGTAGAGGGGTAAATCATTGTGTATCATCAATGGCCATTTTATGTAGCCATTAAAAAAATCAAGTAGCCATTTTAAAAATCATGAAAATATTTACAGAAGTGAGTTTTTAAATTTTGGGTATATAAAGAGAAAAAAAAGCAATATAGATAGCATGATCCAAATTTTATTAATATATAGATGTACACACATACATAAACACAAATCACACATCAATATTTTAGGAATGCTCATCTCTGGAAAGGAGGGTTTATGGGATATTTTGATTTTCTTATATAAAACTTTAAAAATTTTTTTTTCCAAGTTTTACCCAATGATTAAGTATGACTTTTGCAGTTCACGGAAAGATCTGTGAGGGAGAACACTTTTCTAAGGAAAGGAACAAAGTCCTTAACCGTGCCAGCCAAGGCCTTTTGCATTGATTGTGGTCGGGGGGTCACCGGAGTTCAAAGTCTGTCTGCAGATTGATAAACTCAGTTGCCAATTCTTCTAGTTCCCCCCACCAGGACTCCCCAGCCCTGAGGACTGATTCCAACTAACCAAATGCACAGTAGATTGATTAGTAAACCAGAACTCTGTAGCAATTTATAAGAGAGAATATTCTGGACTGGAGAACAAATTAGGGCCCTTTATTTACCGAGTGTCTCCACTGCAGCAGACACTGTTTTTCTGAAGTGCAGAGCCCTTTTAGCAGCCAGAAGGAACAGAATCAGAATGAGGAGAGTAAGAACAGACACGAGCACAGGCTTGGGATTTTTTTTAAAAAGAGCTCTCTCTACTCTAGCTAGCTGCGGCCTCTGGAGTGATCCTCCTCTCCCGCCAGCTGGCTCTGCCCGTTGGATCAAGATGAGTCACCGTGAATCAGGGTTCCCTCTTCTTTGTGTTTAAAACACACACTGGCAAACTCTTCTTCTCCAATTCGTCTTTTTCCTATACTTTTTTTTTGGCTCATTGTTGTCGTGACAACTTCATGCATGGCCCACATTTGTCACAGGCCCCCACATCCGTGTTTGCTGACTTAATTTCCCTCCACGATTCACGGTCGCCCTCTTCCCAGCTTTGGGGGGAAGTCGGGCAGGTGCCTCCCAGCCACCTGCTGAATGGGCTCTTCGGGAAGTCCTCTCAGCTGGGAAGCTGATCCCACGGGTGTCCTGAGGGTCCCTCAGAAGCCGGCCCCTTTCAGCTTTGTCCTCAGACTTGGAGAAGTTACTTTGACCTTAGATTTTAATATTTATCTTACTTTGCAGATGGTAGAACCTTTAGCCCTAGATGCTTTTATTCATAATGCATACATACGGTAATGTATTTTGACATCTAGTCAGCTGATTATTAGATCTGCAGGAGCCAGATGAGAAGCCAGTTTACCTAATAGAGATTCGTTTGCAATTGTCAAAGAAGGACTTCTAACTAGAGGAAACAATTGTGTTAGCTCAGTGGCAAAGTTTGAAAGATTAGCATATGCTCATTGTAACACATTCAGCTGTATTAGAAGTGTTTCAAGTGCAAAGTGAAAATCCCACTCACTTCTCCAAGCCCATCTGTTCCCACAACTGATGTTAATCTTTCTAAAAGATTTCTACACACACACACACCCCACACATACTTTTGTCTGTGGGATTGTGTGTTGTTGATGGTTTTTAATAAGATTGTAGTACATATCCTTTTCTTATTCACTTTGCAGTTTAACCATAGAGCTAGACTGGGAACCAAATCTAAGTTTTACCACTCACTGGCTGCCTTCTCTGAACCTCAGTTTCTTCATCTGTAAAGTGGGGATAATAATGGTACCTACCTCATGGGAATGAATGGAGTTAATACCTATCACAGGGCCTGGTTTATTATATTTACTGGTATGAACTAGTAGTAGTTACAGTAGTAGTAGTACTACCAGTAGCATCACTTCAGTCTTATCAATGGCAACCTGGCAGGGGTGGTTTTTTTTGTTTGTTTTTATTTCAAAATATTAAGGGAGTGTTTTTGTTACATGGATACCTTGTATAATGCTTAAGTCAGGGCTCTTGGTGTGCCCATCCCCAGAATAGGTACATTTTTATCCCACACCCCTCAACTCCCCCTTTCTTGGTGTCTCATGTCCTTCGTGATGCTTTGCACTACTGTGTGCCTATGTTTGGCTCCCACTTGTTAGTGAGAACACGTGTTTGGTTTTTCATTTCTGAGATACTTCACTTAGGATAATAGTCTCCACTTCCATCCAAGTTACTGCAAATGATATTATTTTATTCCTTTTTATGGCTGAGTAGTATTCCATGGTGTGTGTGTATATATATATACATACATATATATACACACACACACACCATGTTTCTTTATCCACTCATGAATTGAAGGGCACTTGAGTCCACATCTTTGCAATTGTGAATTGTGCTACGATAAACATTCGAATGCAGGTGTCTTTTTAATAAACTGACTTCATTTCCTTTGGGTAGATAGCCAGTAGTGGGATTGCTGGATCCAATGGTAGGTCTACATTTCTTTCTTTGAGGAATCTCATACTGTTTTCCATAGAGGTTATATTAATTTGCAGTCCCAACAAGAGTGCATAAGCATTCCTTTCTCTGTGCATCTATACCAGCATCTATTGTTTTTTGACTTTTTAATAATGGCCATTTATTAAATAGGGATAAGGTGATATTTCGTTGTAGTTTTAATTTGCATTTCCCTGATTAGTGATATTGAGCATTTTTTTCATGTTTTTTGGCCATTTGTCTATCCTCTTTCAAAAAATTTCTGTTCATTTCTTTTACCCACTATTTGATGGAGTTGTTTTTTTCTTGATTTGTTTGAGTCCTTTGTCCACATGTATAGTTTGGAATATTTTCTCCCATTATGTAGGTTGTCTATTCACTCTGTTGATTTCGTTTGCTGTGCAGAACCTTTTTAATTTAATTAATTCCCATTTCTTTCTTTTTGTCATTGTGTATTTGCTTTTGGGATCTTAGTCATAAATTCTTTGCCTATGCCAATGTCTAGATGAGTTTTTCCTACATTTTCTTCTTGAATTTTTATGGTTTCTTACCTTACATTTAAAAGTCTTTTATCCATCTTGAATTAATTTTTATATATGGCAAGAGACAGGAGTCTTGTTTCATTCTTCTACATGTGACTATTCAGTTTTCCCAGCACCATTTATTGCATAGGGCATCCTTTCCCCCGTGTATGTTGTTGTCTGCTTTGTTGAAGATTGGTTGGTTGTAGGTAGATGGTTTTATTTCTGGGTTCTCTCTTCTGTTCCATTGGTCTATGTCTCTACTTTTATACCAGTATCATGCTGTTTTAGTTACTATTGCCTTGTAGTATAATTTGAAGCCAGATAATGTGATGCCTGTCATTTTGTTCTTTTTGCTTAAGATTGCTTTGGCTATTTGGGCTCTGTTTTGGTTCCAAATGAAGCTCACATTTAATTTTTCTAGATCTGCAAAACATTACATTAGTATTTTGATGGGGATTGTATTGGATCTATCATAATTTTTTTTAAAAAAAATCATTCTTCTACTGATGATTCCTGGATTTAATTAACAGAAATGAGACGTACCACCAGACTTCCCTGATGTTGCACTCGGGTTTATAAAATGAATACCCTGTTCTTAGCAAGACATCAGTTCTGATGAATGAATTCCAGGTGCGGCCAGCTCCAGTGGTTGGGGCCTCTCTGACAGGAGGTGGCAGATGAGGTCTGAGATGTGCACAGAAGGTTCACATGCCCTTCCATTCCCAGCAAATCGCCATCGCTCGGGAGGGGGACCTGCTGACCAAGGAGCGGCTGTGCTGTGGCCTGTCCATGTTCGAGGTCATCCTGACCCGCATTCGGAGCTACCTGCAGGACCCCATCTGGCGGGGCCCGCCCCCCACCAACGGCGTCATGCACGTGGATGAGTGCGTGGAGTTCCACCGACTGTGGAGCGCCATGCAGTTCGTCTACTGCATCCCCGTGGGGACCAACGAGTTCACCGCTGAGTGAGTACCCCCAGGAAGGCAGAGTCACCCCAACCTGCTTGTGTCCCTGTGTGTCACCAGGCTGCCAGAGCTCAGCCCAAAAGGTGGGCAGCCAACAACTATTAATTGAATTTGTTGGCCCCTATGCCGAGTGCCGGACATCCAATAGTGCAGAGCAAAAGTAGGCAGTCCCTGGCCTCACGGGGCTCACGTCGCCAAGGGGGAGACAAGAACCATAGATGTAGGGGACGTCAAATGAGGTTGCTTGGCAGCAAGGGTAGGCAGGCTGGCAGGTGCCAGAGGAGAGAGGTTGAGGGGGTTATCAGGCTTCAATTTGCAGACCAGAACTGAGCCTTGAGCAACGTCTGGCATTCAAATCTACAGAAGGAAGAAGGGGACATTCCAGGAGAGGCAGTAGGTGGCAGAGGCTGAAATGGAATTGTACACAAGGGCGCAGCATGGGGCTGTGAGAGCTCTCGGGGCCTCGTCTTTCCAAGTCTAGAAGCTGGACTGACTGCAGGGGCGGGAGCGAGCCCAGGGAGGGGCTGGCAGTAAGAACCTCGCTGCCTACCTCACCTCCCACCAAACTCTACTTCTGGAAAATGAGGAGCCTCTAGGAGTCCCCGAGAAGACAGCAGGGGGAAGGCAGGCGAGACCTGCACTCCAGAAGCCAAGAATGCTGAGAAGAGTGGGGGCCAGAGAAGCCTTTCCCAGGAAGGGGTGCTGGGACGGGTGGGAAGGCAGGCGTGCTGCGTGAGGCTGTTTCAGGGCAGCTCTGGGCCCACACGCTTCCGACACAGGCTGGAGCAGTGGGGACCCCTGCCCAGTGCAGGCTGGGATACTGCTTGAGGACAAGACAGCCAGCCAAGGGCTGACCCCACTGCCGTCCAAATTGCCCACACGTCTCAGGCTTGGGAGCCGCGGTCGGAGCTACGTCAGAGCCGGGAGCACTGGGCCTCCCGAGCCCAGCAGCCTCCACCCGCTGTGCCCTGTGCCTTCCCTCTTAGCCTGCTCTGGCCAGTTGGTCCCCTGGTGTGAAGTGGCCCTTCACCCCACAGTGGCCCCTCTGGCTTCTCTACAGAGCCAAGACAGCTTCTCCTTTGATCTGCCTGAAATATCAGCCACACAATCCTCAAGGGCCCATTGGGGTCTTTCCTTGAAAATTTGTGTCTTCTTCAGAGCTGATTTTTCTTACGTCAGTGACGCAAACAGGCCGACACCTCTTTGTGTTTGGAAGGGCTTAAAATATAACCACAGCCCCTGGAACTACCATCACAGCTTCCCTTGCACCCATTTTACAGATTGAGAGACTTGGCCCCAAGGCAGGCTGCTCGCTGGCTGTGCTTTTGGCCCAGGTGAGGCTCCCGCCCTCCCCACGTCCCCTCTGCCCCTCACCCAGCTGCCTTTTCTCCCTGCTCCCAGGCAGTGTTTCGGTGACGGCTTGAACTGGGCCGGCTGCTCCATCATCGTCCTGCTGGGCCAGCAGCGTCGCTTCGACCTGTTCGACTTCTGTTACCACCTGCTGAAGGTGCAGAGGCAGGACGGGAAGGATGAGATCATAAAGAACGTGGTAAGCAGGCTGGTGGCCGGGCCTGGGCGGTGGGGCCGGGCCGGCAGCCAGGCTTTCCCCAGAAAGGAAGGGAAGGGTGCGCGGCACCTGGAGGCCAACTCCCCACCCCGCAGGTTGGTGCAAAGACAGGGACCTGCTTGGGGGAAGCCGTGAGTCACTTGCTCGTAACCTACTGCCATGAATCAGGTCGCCCCAGAGGGCAGGGCTGGGCTTCAGCCCTGAAATGCAGCTTCCCCTGGCTCAGCCAGACTCTGCCCACGCTGGTCCCTCACCTGGGCAGACGTTCACCCAACGCTGACGCCGTGCGGGGCGCTGGGATGGGATGGGTGCCGGTGTGCGGTGGGCAGGGCTGCAGGGCAGGGAGCGGGTGGCAGAGAAGGCTTCCCACGGAGGATGGTGCTTGGGCTGAGTCCTGCATGGCCAGCAGCAAAGAGCCAGGCAGAACTGGAGTGTGGGGCTTTCGAGAATGTTCCAGACCCGGGGAACGGCCATAGCAAAGGCACAGAGGCATGAAGGTGGATCAGAGAGTGAGAGGGTTTTTTAATGGTGATAAAATATACATAAAACTTTAAGCATACAGCCCAGTGGCATCCAGTACACTCACATTGTTGTGCAGCCATCACCACCATCCATCTCCAGAACTTTTTCCTTTTCCCCAGCCGAAACTCTGTGCCCATTAAAAAATAACTCCACACTCTTACCTCCCCAAGCCCTTGGCAACACCATTCTACTTCCTGTCTCTATGAATTTGACTATTCTCCGTGCCTCATATAAGTGGAATCATACGGTATTTGTTTGTGACCGACTTATTTCACTTAGCATAATGTCCTCCAGGTTCATCCACGTAGCCTGTGTCAGAATTTCCATCCCCTTTATGGCTGTATAATATTCCATCGTGTGTATACCCAACGTTTTTGTCTATCAGTTCATCCATCAATGGATGCGTGTGTTGTTTCCACCTTCTTGATTTTGTGGAAAATGGTTAATTCTAGCTGTTGTGAAACACAGGTGTACACATAACTCTTCGAATTCCTGCTTTCAAGTTTTTTGAGTAAATACCAGAAGTGAAATTTGCTGGATCCTATGGCAAGTCTGTGTTTGGTTTTTTGAGGAACTGCCATACTCTTTTCCACAGCAGCTGCACAATTGTTCATTCCCAGCAGCGGCTCGTAAGCGTTCCAAATTCACATCCTCATCAGCACTTGTTTTCTGCATTTTATAATAGCCATCCTGATGGGTGTGAAGTGTTATTGTGGTTTTGATTTCCATTTCCCTAATGATTGTTACCGTTGAGTGTCATATCATGTGTTCCTGGCCATTTGTATATCTTCTTTGCAGTAATGTCCTTCCAAGTCATTTGTTCATTTTTTAACTGGGTTATTTCTGTTGTTGACTTTTTAAAATATATTCTGGATATTAATCCCTTATCAGATGTGATTTGCGATATTTTCTTCTGTTCCACGGGTTGTCTTTTCATTCTGTTGATAGTGTCCTTTGATGTCCAGGAGTTTTCAGTCTTGATGTAATCCAGTTTTTTCTTTCTTGCCTGTGCTTTTGGTGTCACATGCAGGGTATCATTGCTAAATGCAATGTTGTAAAGATTTGTCCCTGTTTTCTTGTAATAATTTTATAGTTTTAATGCTTACATTTAAATCTTTGATCCATTCTGAGTTAATTTTTTTGTATCTGGTATAATGTAAGGGTCCAGCTTTATGCACATGGATACTCATTTTCCAAACACCATTTGTTGAGAAGACTATTCTTTTTACCCATTGAATGGTCTTGGCACCCCTAGCAAAAATCATTTGATGCACATACATGTCATGGTGTATTTCTGGGCTCTCTGTTCTATTCCATTTGTCTCTGTGCCACACTGTTTTGATTACTGTAGCTCTGTAGTAAGTTTTCAAGCTTGCAGAGGGTTTTTTATGGTCCAGTTCACATTTGATTGAGAGAGTTCTGGGAACCCACAGAAGGCCTTTAAGCAAGAGAGTGACATCATCATCGAAGCTTCTGGGCCCTGTACCCCGACTTTACTGACTGCTTCTCTTGTCCTTCCTCTTTCCACCCCTTGCTTCCCTCACCTGGACATCCCTGTCCTTCTGCAGCCCCTGAAGAAGATGGCCGACCGGATCAGGAAGTACCAGATCTTGAACAATGAGGTTTTTGCCATCCTGAACAAGTACATGAAGTCCGTGGAGACGGACAGTTCCACCGTGGAGCATGTGCGCTGCTTCCAGCCGCCCATCCACCAGTCCTTGGCCACCACCTGCTAGGCAGAAGGTCCTGCAGACCCTTGACCAGCAGGAGGAAGAGGAGGAGCAGGGGAGAGAAAGCCACAGCCAGCCTGCCACATGACCCGACCGGACAGCGCGTGGGATGGACCCAGAAACAAACAAGCACCTCCCCAAACACATCTGCAGCATTCCCAAGGGCGAGGCCTGTGCATGCTCTCCCATGACATCGCCATGGTGGTTTGTCCATAGCATAAATGAAAAAAACAAAAAACAGGGCAGTGTGTGTTTTTTTTTCTTTTCTCCCCTTAGCTGTATTAAGAGCTCCTGGTTTCACCCTTTCTCCATCCCATAGTTCCACCCATCTGCGGTTGCTTCCCCAGAACTTCTCCCAAGATGGCGGCCTTTTCCCCAGGGCCCGCGTGCGACCCCAGGACTGAAGGCTCAGAGACTCAGCCCGGCCCAGAGGGCAGGCGACAGCCTACTGCTGCTTCCTCTCCCCGGGCTCCCCCCTCCAGGGCCCCAGGTGGCATCTCCCCCTGCAGTCAGTGCCGGGGATCCTACATATAGGCTCCCCAAAACCCCATCCTAACCACACACCCCCCCAGGACAGTCCAAGAAAGAAGTCAGAAGAGCTTTCATAGCTGTACCCCGCTGAGTGGAGACAGGGGTAGGAGCACGGTCAGGCCTGGGGGGGAAGCAGGATGTATGAACACAACCAGGATGCTACAGCCCCAAACAGAACATGTTTAGGCCATTGCAGCAGCCTAATGATGAGATAGTTCTCTTATTCCTTAAGCAGGTGCTTAGCACGGGGCACACACGAGAGGCAGTCTTGACCAAGTCACAGCCCTGCCCACAGCATTAGCCAGCCACCAAATTAGGGACCACTTCTTGGCACAGAATCTCATCAAGGAAAACTCCCATGAGAAAGAGTTATTAAGGGATTTGTACAACAGAGGCCAAAAACATCTTGGGGACAGGGAGGTAAGAAATAAAAATAATACTTATCAATGAGCTTTGAATATCAAGATAAACCCCACAGGGGAGGCCTGTTGTAGTGAATCAGAACTTTAGTTGTCCTAGATGCTCAAAGTGTCTTGCAACGTTTCATCTTTTGCTCGCAACTTCCTGTTCTCAGTGTTCCTTAAGTTAGACTTTGGGGTGTGTCTTCTCTCACAAGGGTATATGTCCTTCCATTTTCCCGACTGAACTAAAATTCCTCTGCAGAATCTTCCGCCAAGTGTGGGGAGACCACTGAGAAGGACAGAGGCCTTTGGGATAGAAATGTCTTGTTACAGAGCACATTGTCTTCAAAGGGTGGCTGCAGCACTGAGCTTTTAAGAACATACAAAGTGTGCTATTTGACAGTCTCCTCCAACCCAGGGAAGAAGAGAAAAGAGAAAATGGAAGGAACAATAATGAAATAGTTACCTTTAATCAGATGCATTTTCACCCCATGGGAAGAGCAAAGGAAGTGTCCATAGCAACAGGCTTGTGCAATAGACTCGTCCTCCAGTGAGAAATTTGGGGGTGCCAAATGTGGTCCAATGGCCGCTTACATCAGACCCTGAGATTAGCACATTTGAATGCAGAGTCCTGGGCCCCACCTCAAACCTAATTTGAATCTCTGGGAGTAGAGCCTGGAAATCTGCATTTTTCCATAAGCTCTCTGAGTCACTCTGTTGGGCAGCAAAGTTTGGGAACCACTGCTTTATAGGAATCCTTCTGCTTAACCTTGGGCTTTGAACTGCCTCTAAGCCATGAAAGGAAATATGTGTAGGGAAGGAAGGTGATTCAGAGTGGAAGCTGGCAGACCCTCCTGTCTGGAGCTACCACGTCCTATTTCTGATTTCTTTTTTCCCCTTGGTGGCCACAAGAGTGTCCCAGAGGCAAAAGGGAGAGGTCACCCCACCTGGCAGAACTACATGGTAAAACATGCCTCCAAAACCCACATGCAATCTCTAAGCTCCTGAGCCTCCCAGATCTTCCATGCTATCTAGGGACGGTAGCTAGCTCTGTCTGATGACCAGCGTTCATCCCCAATCCTTGACCATGGCTTTGTAGAGATTTGGATCATCCATTTGGTAAGATGGCTATTGCAATCACCTGCCCCTCCCACCCTGCATTCATAACCCTGAACTTGACCCCCTGGGCAGAGTTACATTATCCTCAGGAGACTTGATCCCAGCAAATTGAGGTCTTCACTTGCAGGAGAGAGATTTCATTTCCCTGGCTTGCCAGCAGCACTTATTTATGAACACCAGACAAATTTAATATTCTTCCCTCCCTGATATTACTGCCTCCCCAGCCCTACCTTTTGATTTCTGTGTGTGTGTCTAAGAACCAGGAAAAAAATAAATAAAGCTTAGGTTTTAAAAAGATTTAAAATACCTGTTTCAGAAACTGTCAAATGTACCATATTTGTATTAAGAGTTGTTGGGGATTTTTGTACAATGAATTTACATTTATTTATGGTGACTTATATTTACGCTTGTGATCAAAGAATGATGTTAAATTCTTAAATCCTATTTGCTATGCAGCTGAAGATGATATTTTGATTTGTATTTTGGGGGTACCTGTGTTGAATTGATAAACATTTCCATCTCCATTAAAACTGCTTCCAGACCAGTAAAACTAGCAACTTGGTCTTGATTCCTGATCACATTCCAATTCTCATTACCTATAGAAGGCCACCTTAGAACTAATGACTAAGAAAAGAACCTGAAAGAGAATGAAAATATAGCAGGTCTGTACAACCTAAACTAATGGCTTGCCTTGATTTCTCTCTGGGGAGGAATTACATCTTTGCAAATTATTTGCACTGAGCAAGTTGCAGGAGACAGTTCTTACAACAGTTGGGGATATCATAGTCTCACTGAGTGTAATTATGCACACTACATCCCTAGTTCTAAGAGAAAGAATGGGAACTAATGTTTATTGAGACCTAATGAGTGTAGGCACCATGCTGAATCCTATCCATTCCCTTTCATCAACCACAACCACTTTATGTGGTATATTTCACATTCTACAAGAAGGCCATAGAGAGTTTATTTTCACAATTACTAAGTGATAGAGCTGGAGTTTGAACCCACTTCCAAAGCCTTAGCTTTTGCTGTCACACTACAATGAACTGATCAGCCAGGCCAAAACACAAAAACTAGACTTGAGTATTTGGTCACTGGACCTTCCAGGGCTTTTTGAGTCAGTAAGATTGAGCTAAATCTGGTATCAGGAGCAGCCCGTGCAGTATGCTGGCTGAGGAGATCCCAGGCTGAAGGGGAAAGGCTTGTGCCTGGGAACCTCTCATATCATAAGAGAGATGTTCACTAGAAGGATGCCTGGAACCTCACACTTCACACAGCACCGGCTTTCCTAAAGGCCATCCACTAAGGTGAGTGCTTGGGCCATTTCCTCTTCTGTCAAGTTAGACAAGCTAATCCCTTCCAGCTCTGATCGTCTGATTCTAGGTAATTTCCCACTGGTGTCCTTTGAGGACTTTGAGGGGCCTGACTACTACACTCAAATCCTTCTCAACCTCGTGTCACCACCTCCTAAAATTGCCATCATTAGGAGGCATGTATTTAAGCCAGCGCGGTTAGGGGACTGTCAGTCTTGAGAGATGCTCGGTGAAAAGAGAGCTCCATGAAAAATAAATTTGAGGAACGCTTCATGCCCTTTCCTCTCTGCAAGATCCATAATGCTCTGCGGAGTCCTGCAGAACCTAATCAGTCTGAATTAATATCATGTCTCCTAGATGGCCATGACCTTGGGAACCCCTTTATCTGAAACACTAATCAACATCTCTTGGAACACACTTTGAAAAACACTGGGCTAAAGGTATGGACATCCATGGTAAGGTATTTTTAAAGCCCCACAGGAGAAGGACCACTGACATGCAGGGAGCCATGACACTGGGGCACAAATAGGGAAGTAGGGACCTGGCAAACTATTGAAGGGTTTCAAATAGGAAGGGGAAGCATTTTGATGATGGGAGAGAATATAGTGGCTGGGAGTATTGTTTTGCTGAAGCTGTCATGTCATAACAAATACCCAGACTGGGTGGCTTAACCAACGGAAATTCATTTTCTCACAGTTAAAGGAGCTAGAAGTCCAAGGTTAAGGTGTCAGCAGAGTTGGTTTCCCCAGGCCTCTTTTCTTGGTTTGTGGGTGACCACCTTCTCCCTATATTGTCCCATGGTCTGTGTGTATCTGTGTGCTAACCTTTTAAACTTTCAAGGGTTTTTAAAGACCAGTGTTCTTTTTCTTCCTTTCCCACCCCCACACCATTTTTCCCTTTTTCACTTTGTGGGAGCCAGACATTAAAGACCAAGACATTCAAAAGCAACTGTATAAAAGGAAGAAATTAGAAAGTTACCATGCATATACAGGGAAAGGCGCAGGCTAAGAAAAGACCAGAGAAGACCTTAAGTTTACTCCACAGGCTGATATTCAGCATAGAGACAGCCTACATCAATCAAAACAAAACACCCCCCCCCTACACACACACACACAAACATCAAACCCTGGGGAAAAGAAAGAATCTGATTTCCAGAGATACCACATTAGATTCAATTGTCCAGTTTAACAGCAACAAAAATAAATCACAAAGCATACAAAGAAAAAAGAAAATATGGCTCATTTAAAAAAAGAAAAAATAAACAAAAAACAAAAGAAACTGTCCATGAGAAAGACCAGATGGCAGACCTACTAAATAAAGAGTTTAAAACACCTATCTTAAATGCTGAAAGACATGAAGAAAGAAATGATGTAGGAATAAAATATAAACATCAATAAAGAGAAAGAAAACATAAAAAGAAAGCAAAAAGAAATTTTAGAGCTGAAAAGTACAATAGAAACTAAAAAATTCACTAGACGAATTCAAAGGCTAATTTGAGCAGGCAGAAGAAATAATCAGTAAACCTGAAGATAAGACAACTGAAATTATCAAAGTTTGAGGATCAGAAAGAAAAAAAGATTTTAGAAAAGTTAACAGAGCCTAAGGGACCCATGGGATACCATCCAGTGAACCAACATACTCGTGGGAGTCCCACAAGAGAGAGACAAAAGGGCAGAGAGATTATTTGAAGAAGTAATGGCCAAAAAATTTTCCAACTTTCATGAAAGACATGAATATGAATACCCAAGAAGCTCACTGCCAGTAGCATGAACTCCAAAGAGACTCACACAGAGACACGTTATAACCAAAATGTTAAAAGACAAAGAGAATCTTGAAAGCAGCAAGAGAAAAGTAGCTCATCACATATGAAGGATCCTCAATAAGATTATCAGCATATTTCTCATCAGAAACTTTGGAGGCCAGAAGGCAGTGAACTGATATATTCAAAGTACTAAAAACAAAAACAAAAACTCTGACAACAGAGGGGCTGACTACAGGCATTTGGTACTTGTTTCCATCACAAAGAGGAACCAAAATACCAAGTAGATAATTATGTTTCAAATAGATCACCTAAGAGAATGCTAGAATTCAAAAGAGAAGTGATAGGAAACATCTAAGTCAAGGAAGTAGAAGGAAGCAAGGTAGTCTACTGGGCTGGGAATGGCTGAGAGCCTGGAAAGGCTCCCCACTGGGAGGAAAGGGTAAGTGAGTGTCCCCTAACAGTTCACATCCCCACCATGGACTCCTACAATCCTAGCCACAGGAGAGCACCTCAACCCACATGGGCCCTGAGAGTAACATAGGGAACTGCCTGGAGACCACTCCGTGGCATTGCTCCAGAAAGGGAGCTCACACCAGATCTCACACACACCCTGAGACCTAAGCAGCTATTGCAAAGCACGATATTGAGAGCCCAGCCCCCAGCAGACTAGATCCTACCTTGGAGCCTCAAAGTCCCTGCATCTGCACATCCCTGCAGCCCTGTGGACATCTCCTACATGTAGCACTACTGGCTGTTGCTGGCTGTTGCTACCAGGGCTGAAAACTGAGCCATTGGCAGCAACCCTATTGCCCCTAGTAACAGGGCCATCAGCTATTTAAAGTGCCCTAAGGAAAGGCTACTTCACTTATTGCTGCCACCTGAAGCCAAAAGTGTGCACTCCCCAGCATCCTGTTTATAGCTACAACCATTGAAAGCAACCCCACCCTCCCCAGAAGTATGGTCACAGTGGAGCCACTGCTGCCCCCCACTCAAGCATTCCACTGGGGCCCTGGAGGAAATTCTGCCCCTGCCTATCACAGCCAGTGCCCACATGCACTGCTGAAGGGCCTGACAACAGGACTGGCTGGCCTGGTGCCACCCCCACCAATGTCTGAGCATGCCATATGGGGGACCTGGGGATCACCCTTCCCCATCCACCACTGTTGGCACTAGAGCACTCCTCCCAGGGGCTTGAGGATGGGTCCACCCAACCTGCTGCTACTACCACAGCTAGCAACCATCTGCACGTGCCACCTTCGGGTCTGAAGACCAGCCTGCCCAGCCTATTACAGCCATCAACAACACCAGCATGGACTGCTTGGGAGTAAGAGAGTTGTCCCACCACTGCTACTACCATCGCCCATGTGATACCTGCTTCCCAGGGGCCCAAGGATTCCCCACACACACACCCAGACCCACCACTGCCACTGCTGGCACACAAGCAAGCTTCCTGGAGGCTCAAGACACAGACCACTGGGACCCACTAACACTTATGCCAGCATAAGCTGCCCTGAGCCCAAGGACAGGCATGTTCAGCCTGCCAATTGCCACCACTGGGGCCAAAGGACTGACCTGCCTGATGCCCCATCTCCAGCAAAATGTAACCACAGCCTCCACTAACCACCACACCCTAAGCCACTGAGGAAATTACAGACACTACTGACACTGTTTACAGCCAAAGAAATCATACAGAGACTACACTACTGCATATACCCCAAATCTAAGCCAAAGTGCCTTACCCAAGCAACACCCTAGATACATCTTTAAGAAAAAGTCCTCCCCGACAAAAGAAAATTCAGAAAATTAGAGAGGCAAAGGTTATACCAGATGTACAGATATCAGCATAAAGACAGAAGAAACATGAAAAAGCAAGAAAATAAGACACCTCCAAAGGAACACAATAATTCTCCAGCAACAGATTCCAATGAAAAAGAAACTTATGAAATCCTGGACAAAGAACTCAAAATAATGATAGTAAAGAAGTACAGTGAGATACAAGAGAACTCAGAAAAACAGTACAAAGAAATCAGAAAAATAATTCAAGATATGAATGAGAAATTTAACAAAGAGTTAGGTATCATAAAAAAGAATCAAATTCTGGAACTGAAGAATTCATTGAATGAAACACAAAATACAATTGAAAGCTTCAATAATAGACTAGATCAAGCAGAAGAAAGAATTTCAGAACTTGAAGATAGGTCTTTTGAAATAACCCGGTCAGACAAAAATAAAGAACAAAGAATAAAAAATAAATAAAGCCTATGGGACATATGTGACACCATAAAGTGACTAAATGTTTGAATTTTCAGTGATCCAGAAGGCAAAGAGAAAACAAAAGAGATAGAAAACCTATTTAACAAAATAATACCTGAAAACTTCCCAAGTCTAACAAGAGATTTAGACATCCAGGTACAGGAAGTTCAGTGATCTCCAATTCAAAAAGGTCTTCTCCACAGCACATTACACTCAAACTGTC